AGAATAATCACTTGTTATCCTTTCAATATCTTCCAGATCTGTAGCAATGTCCCCCTTTTCCTTGGTATTGATAACTTGAATTTTCTTTTTATTTCTTGATCAATCTTAGTAGATATTTATCAATTTTATTGGCCTTTTAAAAATCCACTTTTAGCTTTGTTAATTTTCTCTACCATAGATTTTCTATTTCTATACTTATATTTGTTATTTCTTTATTTCTACTTTGGATTTAACTTGCTTTCTATTTCTCTGTTTTTAAAATGAAAAAATAAATCATTTTTAGATCATGCTTATTTTTTAATATAAACACGTAAAGCTGCAGCATTCCCTTAAGCATTGTTTTAACCACACCCCACAAATTTTAATATGCTGCTTTTAATTATCATTCATTTCAAATTGTTTTTTAATTTTGCGTGTTATTTCTTTGATCCATTAGTTATGTAAAAGCATGTTTTGCTTTACTTATAAATATTTAAGGACTTTCTAGATATGTTAGTTTTTGGTTTCTACTTTAATTCCATTGTATGTATTCAATGTTTTGAAATTTGCAGAGACATTTTTTCACCCAGTATATGTCTGTCTTTATGAACATTCTGTGTTCACTTGTAAAAGAACGTGTGTTCAAATAATGTTGGATATATTATTTACAAACACCGTTCAGTCAAGATAAATTTTTTGAACTCTTTTTTTTGTCTACTTGTTATAACAATTCATGAGAAAGAAATGTTATCATCTCCAATTACAATTGTAATTTGCATATTATCCTTTAGTATGGTCAGTTTTTGCCATATATATTTTAAAGTTCTGCTATCAAATTCATAAATATTTAAGATATTTATATTTTCCCAACGAAAATTCCTTAAGAAATGTTTGTAAACTTCTGCTATAAAAAAAATACATTTGTAAGCTCATCAGAATATATGGACAGAAACTGTCATGGCATCATTATGATTACTGGTAACTGAAAGGAATGCAAAAGTGCATCAGCACTAGAACAGATAAGTTGCTTCCTCAACAGTAGTGAAAAATCAATGATACACATATACATGGAAAAATACGGGTGAATCTTACAAGCTTTTATTTTGAAGATATAAGACCAAACAGAGCACATAATATATGATTCCATTCATATAAAGATCAATAATAGCCACAATCAAATTCTATTTTGGGGATTCATAAACCATAGGAAAAATGATCCAAAAGTCAGGTAATACTAACTTTTTAAATCCGCACATGGGATTCCTCTTGATGTTGGGAGAGGATCCCATCATGACTGGGATGGACCACTCAGAGCTGTGGACACTGCTAATATTCTTTTGTATTGTCTTTAGTGGTGATTAGTTATATATGGATTAACTTTAGAAAGATTCATTAAACGCTACATAAATATTTAAAAATTTCCTATGTCTATGCCACAGTTCACAATGTTTTGGGTGAAACTGTTTCCCCAAAATTCATATGTTGAAGTCCTAACCCCTGGTACCTCAGAATATGTATTCGGAAATAAGGCTTTTAAAGAGATAATTAAGGTAAAATGAGGTCATGTGGGTGGGCCCTAATCCAATATGACTGGTGTCCTTATAAGAAGAGGAGATTAGGTCACAGACAATACAAACTCAGGGACGACCACATGAGGACACAGTGAGCCAAGGAGAGAGGGAAAGAAACCAAACCTGCCAATACCTTAATATTGGACTTCTAGTCTTCAGAACTGTAAGAAAATTAACTCCTGTTGGTTAAACTACCCAATCTGTGGCACTTTGTTATGGCAGCTCTATTAAACTAATGCACATACTAAGTTTTCTTTAAGGGAAAAACTGGGATAAATATAAGTATGCTTTTTACATTAAGTGCAACCACCATATGGAAACAAACAAAAGGTGTGAATTTTAATGCAGCTAAAATAAAATACCTGACTTATTGCAATGAAAACAGGAGGTAAGAAAACGAACTGTGTAAATGGGACACTGGAAAAAAAAAAAAAAAGGTTGGGTATTAGGTTGAAGTCCCAGGTCTCTTCCAAGTGAGATCTTTGTCATCAGGGACAGGAGTGAAATGTAAACAGAAGTCAGTATTAATTCCTCACAGAACCAGCATATGAGCCCATAGGTGAATAGTAGGTGACTTAGAGAGAAAGATAAATTCATAAAATGAAATGAAATAAAACTTTCCCCAAAATGATTCATTTGGTTTCAAAACCAGGGATAATCAGCATTCCTCAGAAGCAAACTATTTGATTAAGAGCATTGTCTGAAAGTCAAACAAACCATAATTGGAGTCTAGTTGTGCTGTGCCGTGGTGACTGGCATCCAGAGCTTGTAATAGTAAGTTTTCTCATGTTCTAAATTAATATGAGGCTACCTGAGTTGTGTGGACAAATTGTTATCAAATTCATATAAGTAAAATAACTCCAGACCTAGTAAAAAGAAAATATAAAATCTGCTATAGATCTAGAGAGACAGAGAGAGAGACAGGAACCATATGAGGCAGAATTTTGGAACCTATTATCTTTTGCCCCCTGGTGTTTCTCCCATGAATTTATTATGTTACATGGTAATGAAGCCTTGCCTATGTAAGTAAAGCTACTATCAATTGACCTTCAAATAAGGAGATTATCCTGAATTATGTGGGTGGGCCTGTTCTAGTCTCATGAACCCTTAAAAGACTGATGGTAAAAGAAGAAGGAAGAGACTCAAAGCGTGAGAGAAGCACTCAACCCATTGTTGATAGTTTGAAGATCAAGGAAGTCACGTGGAAACTGTGAGCAGGAAATTAATTCTGAAAACAAACAAACAAACAAAAAAGCACAAACCCACAATGATCCTGGAAGAAGGCCCATGACTCCAGATATAAAGTGCAGCCCTAGCCAATACTTTGAATTTGGCTTTGTGAGACCCTATGCAGAAGACCTAGCTGAGCCCTTGAATTTCTGATCTACAGAGACCATGAGATAATAAGTTTGTGTTGTTTTAAGCTGCTAAAATTTTGGTGATTTTTTTTTTTTACAGCAACAATAGGAAACAAATAAGGGAACAGACATGCAAGAAGAGGTAAGAATTGAGACAGAAGAAGCCATCCTAAGTCCCTGGCTCCTCTTGGCATCTAAGTCGCCCAGCACTGGTCTCAGAAGCTGAGTCCCCAGAGCTCACTCACTCAAGAGTTGTGTCCTGGCTTTTCGCCCAGGGGACTAAGTCTTGACCTTTCACTCCAGAAGTTGAATCCTCACTTCACCCTTCATAGCCTCCAGAAGGTGAATCCTCACTTCTCCCTTCACAATTCTAAAAGGATAAACGTTGCAAACATTTTGCTTCAGAAGCTAGAATCATCAGAGACTTTTCACTTTATATTTTATTAATGTATACAGTGTTGACATTTTGTGTTTAAGTATTAGGAAAAGTAACATGCACAAATGCATTTTGCAACCTTAGTTCAAAACTCCTGTGCCTTTAGAAAGGAAACAAAAAACACATGAGCCCTATCCACAGGAACCACAGCAGAAGGATGAAATTTTCCTAAACTTACACCAAAATCACCTTTTAAAACAGATTTTGTGGTCTTAACCCCCGAGTGTCCGATTGAGTAGGTCTGGGTTCACAACTTGGAATATGCCCTTCTAAAGAGTTCCCATGTGATGCTTTTGCTGTTTGTTCACAGATCAAACTCAGAGAAGCAGTGCTCCAGGGAAGGCAATGCTGCATGCTGTCCCAGGCCCCAGTCCACAGGGCTGGAGGTTTACAGACTCCAGGCGGCAGATCCCAGAGTTCTCACTGACATCCCTCAAGGTCTCTGCAGTGAGTAAAGCAGAGATATGGCCATCTGGAGGTCCTAGCCTCTCCACTGCTAAGGGACCTCGTGAGGAAGCCCCAGGACGCAGGTGATCACAAACCCTGGCCAGGCTCCACCCACAGAAGTCCCCAGGCCACTTGATTCTTCTGCCTGGAACTGAAAAAGAAAACAGAAAACTTACATGGCTTATTCCTCACCTCCTTCTAGTGTTTACTCAATTCTCCTCTTACTAATGAGACCTCCTTCACTGCACTGTGTAGTATTACAGCCTATCTCCCTACTCCTCGGCACACAATCACTCTCCTTTCCATTTTGCCTACTACATTCTAACTTACTATGTGATTTAGTATTTCTTCTTTCGTGTTGCCTGTCTCTTCCTTAAATATAAGCTCCATGAAGGCATGAGGTTTTGTCCCAATTGTTTCATGTCTCCCATGCACCTAGGATAGATGCTCATTAAGCTTTTGTTAGAGCAGAGAATGAAAATGACACCATAGATCGCTGTTCATTTTCACCATTCTGGTAACTCTAAATGACCTCTTCAGTTTTGCCTCTAAGCTGGAAAGGAAATGCTCGATATTTTCAAGAATGTTAAAGAATCACATTTGGAGATAACATCCTCAGTGAGTCCATTTGCTTCAGGGGGCCCCAACATCTGTCTTCTGTCTTCTTTGTCCTGGTCCCAACTGATGGCTTTTTTTCCCTTGTCCCTGACAGAACATACTGAAATGCACCAAACCAACTAACACTTCAAGCTACGTGCATTTGAAGAGCAATGAGGTACGTTTATTAGTTCCCAGCTACGAGTGGCGGCAATTTGGATCTCAGGGATTCCACGGAATGATAACTCCATTCGAATTTGTAGCCTTTGGGAGCATTGGCAGTATGCTTAGCCTCTGAGAGCGTACTGAGCTTGATGGAGTGTGAAAAAATATGTATCAACACTTCAGTGATCGATTGCTGCCAACACTGCCCCCCAGAAACTCGGGTGCCTTCTCTTTGAGAGGAGCCAAATCACCTTCTCAATCAAAGCCTGAAAGACGCCTTTTCGGCAAGCTGGAGGGGACGAGAAGTGCGCCCTTCGCCGCATGACGAGCTGGGACTATATTACCCAGAGTGCTCTGCGCCGAGTGGCAGCAGCGCTGATCCAATGAAGGTGCAGGAGTGGAGTTGATCCGTGTTTGGCGCGAAAAAATAGGGGCGGGACTTCCAGTCTTGTTTTGTGGCGGGCATTTTGGCTGGTTCGGGACTAGTTCGCCTAATCAGTAGCTCCCAATCGCTAGGTCCGGTCTGAGGTATCCAGAGGCTGAAAATTCGAGACAAATGTCGTCCTCCCTGCACAAAGGTGAATCTAAGGCTCGGAGGGGACCGAAGGGGTGATCCCAAGTTCCAGGGCTGGGTGGTGTCCGAGTCCCCACCCTCGTCACCCGTCACTCCCGCCCATCCACAGGCCTAGATTTCCGAGGCCTCATAGATGGATCTGGCACAAATTGGTAGTGAGTCCTTCAGGCCCTCGCCTGAACCGTCCTCAACTTTTGATTCCTAAAGGTCCAAATATGAGGAGCCTGTTGGGATCATTGCAGCCTGGGCCGGAGCGTCCAGCACCCTCAGGAGGGAGGGAAGGGGCGCTTGTCGGGGGTGTCCCCGTTTCTGAAAGGAACGTGATGAGATGTGGGAGTGTTACAAGCAGAGGGATCACCATAGGCGTAGAGGGGCTACAGGTCCAGGAGTGTTTGGGAAACCTGGGCTCCGTGCTGTGTCTGTACAGAACAAAGTGTGAAGGGGAGTCAAGCCCGGAATGGCAGGTGGAGGAGGCGTATCTAAGCGCTTACCGTGCTTGGAACCATGGAGGCTTGTGAACAGAGGAAGGACATGGTCTGAGTTAGGGTTTTTTAAGTTTCCCTGAAACTGGAAAAGGGGTGATGAGGACAGTGAGGCGCAGGGAGGTTGAGTCCTTCTCCAAAGTCACTCAGCTGGTAAGAGGCACTACTGAAGACCGGGCTACAGAGTTAAGAGTAAGCCCAAGGTCACCTGGTTCCAGGGCTAGGCAGGGGCGCAAGGGAGGCCTGAGCCCATGGAGCCCTCCACGTTGCTTGCTTCTCACAGTCTCTCTCTTCCCACAGGTTCCATGGCCGCAGAAGTGTTTAAGGACCCTGCACAGGTGAGTGGGCCCTCACCAGTCCCAACCTCCCCCGACACACACATATTCTCTGGGATTGTGATGCTCTAGGATGCAGACTGCCACTCTCCTAGCCTTTTGGCCTGGAGATTGTTTTGAGAAACCCCAGACCCTCAGCCAGGGTTTATATTGAATGCTTCTTATGTCTGGCAACCAAGGGAATGAGGTGTGGAAAATCACCCCAGGCATGTCCAGATGTTTGAAGGTATGAGTGAGCTGGAAGTGTTCAGAGAACCACATTTCTCTTTCCTTTATGGCGATCAGGAGAGTAAGAGTTGGGCCTGGAATGACAGCCTGAGAAATTGGATGTTTTCCTGGAAGTGATGGGAGCAATGGAATGTGTGACAATGAGGTTGTGTGACTCAGGTCTTAAAATGCTCTCTCTGGCTGCAGAGAGGAGAACAGATTTTGGGGAGTGAGGGAGGAGGCAGGAAGACCAGGGATGAGGCTACTGCACTAGTGCTGGTGGTGAGTATTGGTGGTGACTGAACCAGTATGGTGACCATGGAAGTGGGAGAAGTGGTTGAATTCTGGGTCTGTTTTTTAAGTATGACTGACTGGATTTCCTAATGTTGAGGGTGACAAAGAAAAACATATGAGTCAAGGATTATCCCAAGCTTTTGGAAGGAAGAAAGGAAAAGTCAGCAATAATTTTCGGTGGAAATAGCAGGAGTTTTGTTTTAGCCATGTTAAAAATCTGAGATGGTTTAGAGTCCACTGCTTGAAGGCATCAAGTTGTCAGCTGGACACAAATGTCTGAAACTCTGGGAAATGGTTCAGGGTGGAGACAGCCAAATGGTGGTGGCTAGTATGTATATCCAAAGGGAGATGGAGCTGTGGGTCACATTTGGGAGGAGGAGTCTTCAGGTTATGGTGGTAATGCTATTAGCAGGCCAGGACAGGGAGGGTGGCGCCCTAGGAATGGGTCTCTTGTTTGAGCACGTGGTTAGGGGTGGTGTGCATCATAAGCACAACCGAGGGAGAGAACTGGCCATGGGAGGGGATTTGGGAAGAGGATGGTCTGGTGAGTGGTCAAGGCTTCTAAGGGCAGAGGGGAAGTGTAGACATTGAGATCGATGCAGAGACATAGGAGTAATTGAGGAAGCATGACGGTGAGGCTGGTTTCTATTCACATCTGTATGGACTTACCAGGATTTTTTGTGAACTTGGAGTGTTTCAGGCAGGCTGGTGGATTAGCTCAGGGGAAAATGTGGTTCTGATAGAGTCACTAAGCCGGGGAAGGGGAGCCCTGAGGTTGGGGTTTGATTGAGGGTTAGGTTGAAAGAGGAGAATTGTGACTAATGAGGGGACAGCAAGTGCAACACAGAAGTGGAAGAGGACCATGGGGCCTGGAGTCTGCATACAGTTCTGAATGGCTGAGGGTGACAAGCAACAGAGCCAGGATTGAGGCTTTCATAGCAGGATTCAAGGCTGCCCTGGGCGGGAGGAACCATTGAAGGTCTGGAGTAGTACTGAATCCTGTTTGCATTTACCAAGCATAATCTTGATGCCACATGGTGAGTGACACATGGTGGCCAGGGAGAGATTTATGGCATGGGGCAGGGAGGTGGTGATGGTGGCTGTGGGGTCTGGAGGTACAAAAGAAGTACATTCTATAGAACAATGTGCATGTGGAAAAGTATGAATTGATGTCACCAGGGTCCTGGTGTTGGGGACTGAAGGATGAAGGGAGGGCCCAAGTTTGGTTGTGTTTGGGAGGCACCATCTGTGTGACTTCCTGGGAATTGCCTGGCAGGATAGATGGAGTCCTGCGGGGCAGGCCCAGATCTTCATGGCATCTGTGTGCCCACCTGCCTAGCATTGCAGAAGTCCAGACATAGTAATTAATGGAGCTGTGAGGAGGGAGCAGGCGCAAGTGACACCAGAACCTGATACCTCATCTGAGTTGTGGAACTGGGGAGAAATATGAGCATAGGGTGGATATGTGGGGATATGTTTGGGGGGTCCTCAAGAGAGAGGCTGTGTGGTTTTGGCCGGCAGAAGTCCCACCGAGACAGAATGAATTACTTGAGACTCTGTGGAAAAAGTCAAGAGAGCGAGAGGAAGTCGGGAGCCAACTCCACAAGCCTCTCAAATGCTCCCACATTTATTGTGTATAATCAAAGGAAAAAGTCATTAACAGTTGCGTAATGGTATGCGGGTATTTAGGGAAAGACAGGATGAGATTGTAGAATCCACAATGAACATAAAGACTTAGTTTATCTTTAGGGAAGTCACTGGGAGAGGGGAACAAGGTACATTCTTTAGATATGTTAATTACAAACCAGATCACCAGACCAGCCAGATCCTTGTTTGGGGGATAATAGACTATCTAACAGCAGGCACGCCCAGCATTTATAGCTGAGGGCCTGGGTCGGTTGCTTTGCAATGAGCAAAGTGCTAACTAAAACCTCAACCATGCAAGCAAGGCACTTTCTCTGCTTTTTATGGCAAGGAGACAGGAGTGCGGATGCACAGGCACCTGCTTACAAAGCAGTTACTAAGCACATTTGTTTTACTTAAAGGTGACAGGCGGCTGGGGTCTGTTACAATTTGTTAACCCAATCATGGGCTCCCACAAGGCTGTTCATGGTTTCCTCTCTCCTCATCATGGCAGGGCAGTGTAACCTTTGAGGATGTGTCTGTGTACTTCTCCTGGGAGGAATGGGCTCTCCTTGATGAGGCACAGAAACTCCTGTACTGCGATGTGATGCTGGAGAACTTTGCACTTATGGCCTCTCTAGGTAAGAACCTCATACCTGCCACAATACCTTTCCCTTTTCCCCAGGGACAGATCAGTCCTTCTCACATCAGGACCATGGGTACACTGCTTCCTTCCCCAAGTCCCTGGGGAGGTGCTCTGTGTAGGGCTGAGCTGTTTGCACTGTCCTTTCTTCTTCAGGCACATCCCAATACCTGCTGCCCCAAAGCCTAGAAGGGAAAGGGTCAGGAGTCTTGCAGTTAGCCTTTTGGATCCCACTTTGCTTTCCCTTCCTCTGGCCAGGTGACCTCCCTGCCCTAGGTTCTACTCCTTCCTCTAGCTGATGTATCTGCCACGCTAGGAATTCCAGACACTGACATGGTAACTACTTCGGTGGCCCATGGGCTATTCTTGCAAGATCTTCCTCTGCATTTTTGTTTTTTTGGGGGTTTTTTTGTAATATTTAGTTTTCTTTCCTATGGTCTGTCACTCTGAGTTGCTCTGGGCCAGTGCTGGCCACTCACCTGTCCAGTCTTTTCCTTAGAACTTGCATTATCCAGGTACTGTGTTCAACTGAGGGTAGAGGAGAGAGTTATGGGTGCTTCTCAGGGTGGACATGACTCCAGCTCCACAGAATGGACTCCAAGGGTCCCTGGTCCTATTGAGTGGCAGATGAGAGGATGTGACATCAGGGTTGTGTTCACATCATACTATGAGTCTGTTCTGTTTCCACTACTGTTTTGGTGCCATTGCCAATGGCCATACCTCATTTCTCTTTTTTCTTACCCACTCTTTTTTTTAAGTAAAAGTAGATTTATTAGATTTATTCAGAGAGATACATACTCCATAGAGTGTGAGCCATCTCAAAAGGCAAGAGAAAGGCCATGAGGCCTAGGAGATACCCATTCCATAGATAGAATTCAGGCCTTCTCAAAAGGCAAGAGAAAAGGCCTCCTTACCCATTCTTGATACTTTGCCAACTTGTCATTTCTACACTCTCAGCCCAGTTCAGTTCTCAGCTCTCATAATGGATTCCACATCTCACCTATTCTTCTCCACTGCTCCCCCTCAGTGTTCTCCACCATTGCCCCATGTATATTGTGTTGTGAGACGTGCATGTATCTTTAAGTAGTCTTTGAACATGAGCTACTCTGATGCAATTGAGTTTTCTTGGACCCAAACACACCCTTCTGCACAGCAGTCCTGTGTCATCAGCAGACAAGTGCTAAAAAACATTTCAGAGTGAGTTGTAGACCTCCTCTTTACACTGCACCTCATCCATTCTCCTTCACTTGGTCTTCACTGTGTCTGTCATTTCCCCCATGCTGTGACCTTTAATGGACCAGAGGACCATTATTGCACAGCAGCTGCTTCCTCAACCTGATTCCAGCTCCCTCCTCCTGACAATAATCCTCTGGACTCAAGTACACTCATTCATTAGCGTATCAGATGCTCATTTGTGATGGGGTTGCCCCTTCCCACCAAAATCAACTGCACTTCACCTGTATTTCTTTGCTTTCAGGTTATTGGCATGGAGTGGAAGATGAGGATGCACCTTCTGAGCAGAGTGTTTCTGTAGAAGGAGTGTCACAGGTCAGGACTCCCAAAGCAGATCCCTTTCCCCAGATATCCCACCCCTGGGAGACGTGTCTCTGTCTTGAAAGACATTTTGCACTTGGCTGAGGAAAGGGGCACACATCCCAGGCAGAAACCAGACACTTATGGGGTATGTGGGAAACAGTTCTTTCAGTATAAACCTTCATCAGAAGCAGCACAGTAGAGAAAAACTTTCAGAAGAGATGAGGCAGCGCATTGTTTGTGAAGAGCTACAAATCCCATGTGCCGAGGCCTTTACCTGTAACGAAGTTGGGAAGTGCTTCCTGGTCACTTCGGGCCTCCTCTAGCACCAGGCCACTTACAGCAGAAGAAGCCACACAGCAGCATTGAGTGAAGGATGGCCGTTCACGGCGGGAAACAAATGCAGGGAAGCCTTCAACCATAAACCCACAGCTGTTCAGCACCAGAGAGTCCCCAATGGAAAAAGGACTTCTGAGTTCCACAAACATGAAAGTCTTCATCTGCAAATACACAGCTGTTCTCACCAATGAGTTCACACCAGAGAAAGGCCTTAATAATGCAGTAAATATGGGAAATTCTTTAGCCAAATCTCCAGCGTTATTGAAAACCAGAGATTTCACACTGGAGAAAGACCTTCTGAATGCAGTGAGTGTGGCAGAGGCTCCTGGAAAGCTTCAGCCTCATTAAATATTAGATAGTTCACATTAGAGGAAGGCCTTACAAGTGTAAATAATGTGGAGAATTCTTTGGCCAAAGCACCTCCCTTATTCAGCACTGAAGATTACACACTAGAGAAAGGCCTCATGAAGTACAGCAAGTGTGGTGAAGCTTTCAGTTCAGGGTCTCCTCTGATTTATCACTGAAAGCTTATCTGAAGCTAATATGAAAAAACTTTAGGCTAAAAGTCTGTCCTCGTTCAGCATGAGAAAATCCACAATGGAGAAAGGTGTGAGAAGTACCATGAATGTGGGAAAGCCTTCAGTCAAAGATTTTCTCCGATTCAGCACCAAATATTCAACCAGATAGGCTTTATGAGTGCAATGAACTAAGGAAGTCTTCCATCCAAAGGTCTAACCTCATTCAGCGCCAGAAAAGTCCACACTGCCGAAAGACCTTTTGAGAGTAGTCAAAAAAAGAAAAAAAGCCTTCAGCTTCAGAAAGCCTTCAGTTGATAGTCTGATCTCATTGGCACCAGGAAATTCACACAGAGGAATCACCATAGACATACAGGGAATGTGCAACCTCCTTGTTCAGTATAACAACACTGGAGGGGAGCCTTTGTGAGGAAGACATCTGCCTGATGTTGGGTCTTTTAAATCTGAACATCCACAGTGAGGAGATTCTCTGTAAGTTCTAAGTTTGTGGGAAGCTTTCGGGAGCTGTCTTGCGCTTTCTAGCCTGTGCAGGGCCCTTACCAGATTTATTGATTTATTCTACTGCAAGTTTCTGTTGTAGAAACCATCTCACCCTTATACCTGGTAGGGTCTCACAGCGGTCAGTTTCAAGATGCCAATGTGATGTCACTGAACATGGAATGAGAAGAGATGCTCAGTAGCACATCATTATATTCTTTTTCCACCATGCTGATAGAGTTGCCGTAAATTAACCCAAGAACATAGATAAGAGTAAAATGACTAGGAAGGACAAGCTATGAGTATTTAGTACTTTTAGTTTTCAAACAGCTTTACTGAGATATGATTGACTTAAACTGCACATAGAGGGTACAGTTGATGTTTTTGATATATGTTTACACTCCTGAAACCAAAACATTTCCTCCTGCTCTTTTAATCCATTCTTACTAACATAAACCTATTACTACATGGACATAATCTCCCTTTGTAATATATATTTTCACATATATACTGGAGAGAACCGTTTTGAAGCTCCATGAACTATTCCCCAGTCTTCCATTATTCATCATTTCATGGCCATTCTTAGTTCGTCTGTCCCCATGCTTATTACTGAGTTACTTATAATCTACACATCATGTCATTTAATTCACAAACGCTTCACGATGCATTTCCAAATATAAGGGCTCTGTCACACAAAATAAAAATCCTCTAAAATCCTTTCAAATATGTTACAGTGCTCAGTTTTCTCAGTTGTTTCCAAAATATGTTTATTTTTAAGGTGATTCATTGTAATCAGTATCCAAAATGTATCCATATGACTTTCAATAGGCATTTTCATAACTCTCTTAACCCATAGCTGCCATTTACCTCCTTTTTATCCTTATATATTTGTTGAAGTTGCTGAGTCACTTGTCTGTTAGAATTGATCTCATTCTATATTTGGTTTCTTACACCTTTCTGATTTAACATAACCTTCTCCCATCTTTTCTGTAAACGAAATATTGACAAGATGTATAATTGGGGTCTGCTCCTGGCAGGCAGGTGTGTAATGGTAACACTGGGAGATACACAAATGTGACAGATGTGTGATGGTGACACATTTGGAAACATGGTGTGACAGTATGTTTTGCTAGCACACTGAAGCACAGTCTAGAGACACACAGAAGTTTCAGGTACTAAATGTGCCAGATGTGTAGTGAGTGAGACCGCAGCACAACCTAGAGTCATATACATATATCTGGGGGACTGTGTGTGACAGGTTGTGATATACCTAAGTACAACCTTGGAAGGTTCCCACATATACCCTTGGGACACTGTGTGACAGATTTTAGGACGTTAACACTTCAACACAGCCTGGACCCAGATACACACACAATATCCATAGAGAAAAGATGTGTGACAGACATGAGACACATTCAGCTGACATATGCAAAACATACCAGTGATCTGTGAGACAGGAGGAGATACTGACGCACCACAGCAAGTGTGGTGATACAGATACTCTGTGGAGCCTTGTGAAACAGGCATGTGATGGGGTACCCCAATGCCTGGTGTGTAGGCCACATGGCTACAATCACACAGTTCCCATGGGTCGAGTGTGATGAGACAGGAACCCCTGGCTTGGAGAGAACAAAACTCCATCCCTGGAGATTTGCTGATGCACTGATAGGGGTCAGAACAGAGAGCCAGGGTGCCTAACTTGTCATAACTTAGAAACTAACCCGTATTTGATGATTGAATGGAGCCCCAAGTAGAGATATTGCAATGTGATTAGTTAATGGTCTGAGGCCCAGCAGATAATCTGGGCAGGAGAGGAATCTGGGAGTTTTAGCCTAGATGAGGGAGCAGACAAGTCCTGAGAAAGATAGGTAAAAGTATTTACCACTCAGGGGCCCTCCTGGGGCTGCAGGTTTCCTACCCCCTCTCCACCATGCTCTTCCCTCTGTTCTAACGCTGGTTGGACCCCAGCCTGGTGGGCAGTGGACATGCAGTTGGCTGCATGGACAACAGATACCTGAGTGTCACCAGGAAAGGGGCAGGCTCATCTAATCCCTGAAATTAGGTCCGTTTCTACACCATAGCTACAATTACATATTCTGTCCTCCATGCCCCTTGCCTCCTCTGTTCCCCATATTTTGCCCCAGTCCCCTGTCCTCTGCACCACCTCAGCCTCCCCACTTCACTGAACCCCCTCATCCTCAGGGTACCAGTGAGAGAAAAATAGAACTTCTCAGAATCCTCTGACCACACACAGGATGCAGGGAGTGAGCTGCAGAGAAGACTACAAGCTGTAGTCTAGAAAATTCAGTGTTGGTTCTGGATGTGCCCCTTTCTTGGGCTGTGATCTTGAAAGGTTTCCCTCTCTGTAGTTGGCCTCCATTTCCTCAGGTCTAAATGGGAATATTTACAACTCCTTCCCTGGGTTGAGGAGACTAGAGAGATCATGAGTGTGGTGTGTGTCCCCCAGTGTCAGGGCATATGTCAGCCCCCCTCAGATGCCTTTTCTGTGAAGGATGTGGTGATAGCTCTGCTTCTTTGCTTATGCCTACAGAAATGGGCTCAAGGGTAGCTGAAATAAATACAGGAGTAACAGATAATGGAAATGCTTCACATCCTTATTACCAAATTGATAGAGGAGTCATAGGGTTTATATATATAGACCATGGACCAGAGAGAACTAGGTTTAAGAATTGCCTCTGCTCATTAGACTAAGGACACGGTGGACAACTTGCTAAGGTCACTGACCATGATATGGAGAAGATGCTGGTGTTTGCCTCATACCTGTGGAGGATTGATAAAAATAGCAAAACATATTGAGTCAAAATAACTGATTAAGGGCTCTATTGGAAAAAGTAGACAACATATAAAAACAAATGATAATATAAGCAGAGAGACAGAAATGCTAAGAATCAAAAGGAAATGCCAAAGATCAAAAATATTGTAACACAAATGAAGAATGCCTTTGATGGTTTCATGTGTAGACTGGGCATGGCTGAAGAATCACTGAGCTTGAAGATATGTCTATGGAAACTTCCCAAACGGAAATGCAAAGAGAATAAAGAATGAAAATACAGAATAGAATATCCAAGAACTACAGAAAAATCACCAAAGGTGTAAAGGACACAAAATCGGAATACCAGGAGGAGAGTAAGAGGGAGGAGCAGGAGAAATATTTGAAGTAAAAATAGCTGGGAATTTTCCAGAATTAAGGACTACACTGAACCACAGATCTAGGAAGCTCAGAAAACCCCAGTAGGATAAATACTAAAAAAAAATCTGCACAGAGTCATGTCATATTCAAACTTCAGAAAATCCAGTAAAAAAGAGAAAATCTTGAAAGAAAGCAGAAGAGGGGTACGAAAAGCAATTTATCTATAGAGGAACAAGGGTAAGAATTATATTAGAAATCATTCAAATGGAAAGAGAGTGGAGTGAAATATTTAAGAAAAAAATGAGTTTTGTATCTAATAAAGTTATCCTTCAAAGTGAAGAAGAAATAAACTCTTTCTCAGATAAACAAAATCTGAGGAAATGCCTTTCAAGAAATGTTAAAAGACATCCTCCAGAGAAAAGGAAAATGATCTTAGGTAAAAAAAACTCAAATCTCCATTAAAAAAGAAAAGAAAAGAAAAGTATCAGAAGGAATAAATGAAGGTAAAATAA